CCCCCAACACACACAAAGAGCCATTTTGGAGACATTGTGAAGGACATTTACCTTCCAGTTGGTTTCAGTTTGCTTCATAAATGTCAGCCCATTACTCAAGTTTGCTTTCATTTCATTTACGTGAGCTATGGTATGGACAGACCATGCATCCATCTGATTGATGGCTAAAGCCTGATGGCAGGAAGATAAAAGAAAAGGACAATGCTTATTGGAGCATTATAAATAAATACTTATTCCTGATAGCATAGAAACAGAAGGCTAAGTCTCATAGACAATGCAAATGAAGGTGACACAAGGTCCAGCCCATTCTCAAGCACAAACCAGTGGACTCATTTCAACAGAAAAGGAAAAATATGTTAACTGAAAGACTTCACTTGCTGGCTTCTATTGCACAATGAAAAAGCAGTGTTTAAATGAAGGCCTGAACCTAAGTCACTATATTCACTTCTATTTTATAAATTCTCCTCAGACTTTATTCATGAATGATTCCCTTGGCTTCAGAAAAATCAGGATTTCCCTCTGTATAGGACACATGAATGCATTAGCTGACCACCTGTTTTAAGAGGACAAAAATGAAATGATTTATTGTAGTTTATTAGTTTTCTTACAAGTACATACTTGGCTAGCTCCTGACTATCAGATAGCTGCATCTTTGCCATTCCTACAACTCCCACTAACCTTTGGATTTTTTTCAATGTTGTCTGCCAAAAGCTTAATGTAAGACATTTAATCTTTGTTGTTACTTTTAGCAATTTGATATCTAAGATCACTTGGGGGGAAAAAAAAAAGAATCTATGAAAATACATTAGGGGTCATCTTTGTGGAAGACACGAGATATCCCAGAGGCTGAAGAAAGGCAAACATTACCAATTCTTTTTTCAAAAAAGAAAGAAGAAAGAATTCAAGATTGGTCAGCCTAAATCGGTGCCAAAGTACCACTTAAAAGCATGTTCATGAGTATCTGGGCTAAAACTGGCAGCAGTTTCAAAAAAAGTAAAATGCATCAATTCTGGCTGAACTAAGTCTCTGGGTATTATACACAAATTACTACAGCTATGTTTATTTCAAGGTCAGTTATTTCAAATATGTTTCCCACTTTCACATGTTCAGAGAGAGCAGGGTCTGAAAGTAAGGAGTGGGGGAAGGGGCTGCAGGGGGAAGAAGTCGGAAGGCAGAGGGTACAGGGGCTACCTGACCTCCAATATTTATTTTTCCTGCTATATCAGTGGGAGAAGGAAAAATTCAAGACAAACCTCCAATAATTAGATTCTATACCTGGAAAAAATATAAGAAATGTATACTTTTTCCATATAAAGAATTTAATTCAGGGGGTCAGCTTATATTTGAATAAATATGGTATTTCTCAAATGAACATTTCCATATAAAATAGGATTACAAAGTTCAAAGCTTTTAGCACCAGCAGCAGCCTGTTTACCTCATTGGCAAGCTTTTCAGCCTGATCAAACAAATTAGTTTCCATCAGTCCAAAAGAGAACATCCCCTTCACATAGCTAAACAAAAGAAAATAAAAAACATCAGAAGCATGGCACTTGTCTTGCAAAACACTAGATGTGTATGTGACACAAAATATTTAATTCACTGCAAATTGTAATACTCAACAATAGAAAGAGAAAGAACTCAGAGCTGATTTTTGTGTAAAAATTAGAAATCCACCAAAGAAAAAGAATTAGTCATTTCCCACTGTATACTTACTAGGAAAAAATGTGTTCTATGCACTCTGCTAATTACAACTTCACAGATAACTCTTTATGATGCAAAGTACGATTTTAAAACACACCACATATGTGTTCAATGAAAAAAATATATATGCGATATGTACAAGATTCTATACACATATTTCTACATGATCCAGTATATGTGGCATTATACTATTTTCCCTATTTAATTTTTCAATGAAAAGAATCTACAGAGAAGGTAGAACACTTTAAGAATGGTACTTATTCCAAGACAAAAAGGAAACATTAAGGGTATATTTAAACAGCAAGATATCCACAAACTCTAAGCTCAAGGAGAAGCAAGCCATTCTTCCCCCACTACATTATTTGATCTAAGGTATATCAAACCTGGGTTGGTCATGTCCACACTGTGCTTACTTTCACTTCGATATGGTATTAGGACTGATGGGAACATATCCCAGGCTCTCTACAGAGTAGAGTCTTTCCAGGAATTGATCTGCAGGACAACTCTAACTTTTCTTAATATTTTTAAACTACAACAAGAAGTCAGATGTAGATCAAATCCTATGGGAAAAAAATCCTGACTAAAAGAACAGGCTGCCTAGGAAAGTGGTGGAATCTCCTTTGCTGGACGTTTTGAAGAGGAGGCTGGACAGGTGTCTATCTGGGATGGTTTAAGAGGAGCTTAACTTGCATCTGTGACCCATGAGTTCCATTCCAGCCCTAGGATTCTAGGATTTTTTGGTGGCCTTAAGGATAGATGTTATTTTAGCCTGCCACTATATGTAGCTGCCCTGCCCTGCAGGATGCTCAGTTTTCTGCATATGTAGTGAAGGTGAGAATCATGAATCATTTGGAGAGTAAGAGAGCCTTTTGTGCATGACAGAAACATGCAAGGGGGTTCCTTCTCTGCCAAGAAACACTTCCATCATTTGATGACTGGAAAGGGCCTTTTTTGTGAACCTTTGAATCCAGTCCCCTATGTTTGCAGGCAATTTATTTTCAAAGGATCCTCATGATCATCCACTCCATCTCCTCACACACCACAGCCACAAAAATCCCCAAACAAAATAACTATAATGTGCCAAATGTACACAGAGCAGAGAGAGGAGCTTGCAATGACTTGACCACTGCAATAGCAAAGAATTTGTTAGGTTAGAACAAGCTCAGATGGTAAGGATCACACCCTGTGATATAAGAAAGACAAAATATCCCACAGTCCTGGCCAATCTGACCTGGGGGAACAATTCCTTCTTGACCCTGAATTTGGGGACTGATATGACACTGACTGCATGAGCGAGACTCCTCAGCCTGGTATCAAGACTTAGTTTTCATAAAACTAGCAAAAGCATAAGAACACCACAGGCAAACTTCCAGCTCAAACTGTAAAGAACTGCAGATTGGCCTCAAACTAGAGTAGGGCTCTCCAACTTCTGAGTGGGCAAGCCACACTGCTCCTGGACTGTATCAGCCCAAGGATGGTGGCAAGAATGAAAGCAGTAGTAGGAGCAGGTGATGGAGGGAGGTGGCAATGGCTGGGAAGAGGAAGTGGCTCCCAGACCCATGGAGGAAAGCATGGGAAGCCAAGAAGGTAAGGATGGTGGGAGCCTGTTGGCCATGAGTTAACCACTTGCAGGCTACGTGCAGCCTGAAGGCTACCATTTGGACAACCGTGCTTTAGAGGAATGCGAAAAATTATAAAGCCAAATAAAGTGTTTATGAAAGAAAAACATTCCTTTTAAAATGAGACAACATTTTAACCCTTTAAATCAGCAGACTTGAAATCTAAGCATTCCGTGCACCTCCCACATGGAGATCAAGTTTAATTTCAATAAAGTTATGGGGATAGTATCTTGAAATCTTCATATCATTTGCACTGATTATCTTTATTCTATCATACAATACCTTCCATTCTACCCCTTCCTCCTGTCTTTTCCCCGTTCTAGTTTATGAAGCTGTACTCAGACAAAGGGCCACCACACAGAAGATTTCACTACTTTCTCAGCAGTTGCAGAGTGGTGGTGATGGAGTGGGCACTCAGAAGGTCAAAGGCAAGACTTTGTTTCCAAACCCATTTGGGTATAAAACTTATAAATGCTGCTAGGCCACATGCAAAAGTCTGCACAGGTATTGCTTCACAGCATGAATCCTTGATCCTGGTGGACTTCTTAGCCAGTTTGCACTACCAGAAGTGCCTCATTTATGCAGTATTTGGGAGCACAGGGTGCTGCTACTGAGATTACTAGGAATACTTACTGGGAATACTAGGATTAGGATTAGTCACTAGGATTATTTAAATATGGCTGGGTTGGCTAGGCCCCAGCCCTGCATGATTTGGCTTCATGGTTTGCTAAATACAATAACTTTCAGTTTAAAGAAACAACAAATGAGTGTAACGAGAGAGCTTTTAATCACTGGCAAGCGCTGATCAGACTGCCTGTCAGAGGGAAAGCCTACAGGGGCTTACACATCCTACATATGATCAGGCAATTACATTTTTTATACTTCCCTTGTACACTGAACAACTACAAAAAAAACAACCAGATCCCAGTGATTCCATATTAAAAATTGATCACTGGTTACTACAGAGATACCCATGCAGGTGTACCCTTTTTCACTACTTCGGTATGTGTACCAGTTAGTTATCCCAGCATTGTTGAACCACCCTGTTTTCCTAAAATATCCCACTCAACTCATCTTCCAGCTGTAATCTGCAAGGGCCTTGAAACTCCCTGCTCATTATATTTTTGGCAGCCCAACCGAGCCCAGTCACCTTCTGGAAGGCAGAAGGAAGTGGGGGAACTTGGGTTAGAAACAGGTGTTACCAAATTAAGCAGACCAGGTATACTGGGATGTGTTACACATGCCTGCACTGCTGACCCATTTCACTGGGACAAGCAGATATTGCCCATTCTCTCACCTATTGATCCTGTGGGAAAATGAGTGATGTTCCCCACTTAGATGCACTCTGGAGATTCTTCAGGGTGTGTCCTCAGGGCACATTCTTTTATGCACTGATAGTTCAGTTTACCTTATTCATATACATTTGGAAAGGCTACAATGCCTTTCCAATCAGCATGCAATCAGCATGCATATATAATCCCAAAACACACTGCTGACCAAAAATAACCAAAGCACAGACACACGAGATATTAGGAATCCAAACCAATAATTGAAGACAACTTATTACATACCTGCTCAGAGGAATATTAGGTGACCAATGAGGATAAACCCGGGCAACAGAGTCTCGCATTTGTATACTATGGCCCAGGTAAAAATAAGTGTCATGGGAAAATTTGAGCGCTAGCATGTCAGTTGGGTGGTCCTGTAGAATCTGCTCCCATACTGCACAAGCTTTGGGAAGTTGCCTGTTGATAAGAAACTGTATTAATCATCAATATAGCCATCAAAATTCAAGTGCCTCCCTCTATTATTCCTTCCAAACTTGTGTTACTCTCTGGCAAGTAGGAAACCCAATGACAAATTATAGTTTTCTACCTTGCAGGAATTTCCTAATTTTTAGATGTATGAGAACATTAGATATATTGTCTTCAACACATACCTTCTCAGAGCCGGCCTTAGGGAAAATGGTATCCTGGACAAACTTGCATTTGGGCACCCCTCCCAGCCTGCACTCCCCCAACCCCACACTTCCCACCCCAAATCAGTGATATTGCTGAAGGCAGAGGCAGGCAGGCAAGTGCATGGGGCAGGGGCAGGGGCAGGGCCAGATCCAGCCAAAAGAGCCATATCACCTGGCCCATGGAGCTCCAGGAGGGGACATGAATTTGGGGGTGAGGTGAGCAGAGGTGGGACCTTGTGACAGGAGTACCTCTACAAGAGTCTTTCTATTGGTGACTCCACCCTCCTGTTATGGGCCAACCGCTGCCTTCTCTCCTGCCATGCCTTGATCTTGGTTAATTAATAGATGTTAATTAGTGGGAGGCTGTCCATTTTATTTTTTTGCCCCAGTGCTAGGGGGTGCTATCTCCAGCTCCTTTCCTCCCCTACACTGCAGCCCAAGCATCGTGGATGATACTGACGTGGTTTGACCTGGACCATGCAGTAATTTGGCCCTCTCCTTGATTTCCTGGGCTTCTCGCTGTCACCCCTCACTCTGGGGCTGGGGCCAGTGCACCCCAAAATGCCACACCCTCTCTGGCACCGGGGCCCCCACGCTACTGTGGAGCCCCTATGAGGCCTCCTCCAACCCCTAATAGCCTCACCCAGTCCTCCAGTGTTATAAAACTACAAATAGAAAACTCAAGCCCCTGGACTGTAACATAAAATCAATCTAAGCTGTTTGGCTAACCATCATTCAAAATCCCTATCAGGGAATTCTCCACCCCGTATCTGTGAACAGGAGCTGCTTGTGCCATCAGGCTTCTCTACTCTGCTTGCTCCAGCAGAGCTCCTTCTCCCTTGGCTGCCAGCAGAGAACTGCCCTTCTGGCCTCACTCCTGGGGTTTATATGTGCTAGGCCCTGCCCCTTCCTGTCAGCTGACTCCCCAGCGGTTGCCCTAGCAACCCACACCTGTGCATCTGCTCTGAGACTAGCAGGCACCTTAATGTCCTGCTACAGTCCTGTCACTGAAATCCAGGCAACAGAGCCCAGGGGGCACATTTCAGTGGCAGACATGCCTACAAGTGACAGCTGTGTTAATCCCTACAGCTCTCTAAACTGACACAGCTTCTCATCCCGCTGCCACCATCTGTCACCCCATTGGCAAAGATGGGTTAAGTTCCAGCTTGCAAGAAGCCCTGTGGTGTGGACATGACTCAGGATGGGGGTGCAGTTTGACACCTCTGTTCTAGACAAGTACAAGCTTGTTTGCTATTAATGCACTACAAAGGAGGGAAAACTTGAATTAATGTTAGACCCCTGCAAGTTGACCCATGTAGGAAGACTTCAGTTTGCAGAGAGCTGAAGTGGAATCAGTGTAGCTCCCCATAAACACGGAGTTTTCCCATGTAATTCAGATTTGCAGGACTGGGACCTTAGTGCCATAAATGGTGCATTGTGTTGACAGTGTGGGGGGGCACAATTCCATGCCACTGCTACTGCTGGGCCCTTGCTCCAGCCAGGCTGCAGTCCCATGCCCCACTGTCGGTGCAGAAATCTAAGGGGGCATGTGCCCCATGCCCAACCCCACTCATTGCCTATGGTTAGTGCTATCCTCTCATACAATGTACTCTATGGTATATGTAAGACCAATGCATCTCTAGCACATCAGGTACCATAATTTCACATATATAACACCTGTCCACATAAAAGATGTACCTTGTTTTTCAGAGACAGGATGTGTGGGGGGGAATTCCTTCAGAGTCATGGACAACTGTATGATAGAGTATCGTATTTACTCAGTTCTAAGGCAAAGTGTGTGCGCCCCTCCCCCCTCCCCCCTCCCCATTCATCATAGGGTCAACAAACTCCTCGTTGTAAAATTACCTATCACAACTGAGGGCTGTGAGAATAGGCTGTGCAGGGAGCCCAGCTGGGGCAGTGACAGCAGCAGCAGCAGCTCTGTTCCCTGCTTAGATTCCCTCCTCCATCTCCTCCCCTCCACCAGGGCAGGGAAGGATGAGTCTCCATTTTGCTGCTGCTGTGGTCTCCAGCCTACTCCATGCTGCAGGAAACAGCTGTGTTGGGAGCCTGGCTCTACATTGCTCAGATTTTTCCTGCTGTGCCCTGCTCCCTTCCCCTCTCCCCATGAAAGGGGAGGGAGCAGGGAAGGGTAGGATAAATCTGTGGTGCAGAGCTGGGCTCCCAGCAAATCTACTTCCTGCACCATGGGGCAGGAGTGGCTCTAGGGCTCTACCTGTGCATGAATCAGTGGGGAAAGCAGCAGAAACAGGAGGTAAATAGAACAGGGGGGCAAGGGATAAGGGACAGGATGCCTGGTCCCCTGCCCCTGCTTTCCCCCATCCATTTCCCCACAACCTGCCCCCTCATTTCTGCTTTTCCCATTATCTGCCCTATGCTTCCCCATTTAAAACATGCACGCCCAGTGTGTGGGGAAAGGAGCATATTGTATGTGAGAAAATATAGTAATATCATTTGCTAGCTGTATTAGAGTGGCACTGCTATCTAATCTGGAAGAAACATTTTACAGAATACTCAAATGGAATGAAAGACAAACAGCAAAATGCAAATACAAATGGTGATAATGTATATAGTTTGAATGGTAAAGGAAAATTGTTCCTTCCTTCTCACTGCCATTAAAACCAATCACTTACCCACGTGCAAATAAGTCGACTGCAGACACATGTAGTTTCTCCCTTTCAGTCAATGACTGTGATTTTGAGACAGCCACCATCTTCTTTACTGCACTGTCCAGCTCTGTATCTAACCGCACTGAAGTCCCAGTGCCAACCAGATCCAAGCCATTAGCAATCACGTGTCCCATTGCTGAAAGAAGTGACAGATACCAGCTTCAGACATGCATAATTGCAGGTAGCTCAGCAGGCACAATAAATGTGGGCTAAACTACTGATGTATTTTTCAGTGAGGTCATACCAGCAAACAGTTTTGCCAAAAGCTGGTAAGGATCTGACAGAAAGCCCAAATCACACACTAGCAGGACCCTGGAATTTTCTTTGCCAGTAAACTGGCTACTTTCAAATTCTCCTTCAACATCCCAACAACCCTCCTCTGTTCCCAAATAACAACCTTAGTATTAGGAACAGTATTAGGTACCAGTGCTGTTTCAGCCTATCTAGAACTTTTGGAACCCATTTCCCCTGCTGTTCTTTATAATGGCCTATGCACAAAAGAGACAATGGAATGCAGATCATAGACAGACCCAGAGGCACCATAAGATAAGAATTCAGAGGGGTCCTGATACCTGGGTGGCAGAAGGAGATGCAGAACATTGTACCTTGTCCCAAACACTACTAAGACTTAAATTAGTCTTCAAGAGAGTCACCACAGGACATTATCTCAGTTATAATAAAGAAAAAGAGATATAATAAAGAAAAAGAGAAATCACAAGCAAAATGTTTGGATTAAGAGAGGAGATTCCCAGAGGTTCAGAATCAGTGAACTGTTCATTTTACTAGTTGTGATGTACATCACAGAGAAGTGACACATTTCTCTCAGACTGGTTCTGCTCACTGCTCAATATCCTCTGTGTAAGGTTGCCTTTCTATGAGTTGACTTTCCTCCCACAGGATAGGCCTATGAAATACGGCAGAGATAGAGCTGCAGCATGATAGTTACTATTTTGCTACAGATAAGTAGTCAGTGAGGCTCCCTCTCTCCAGCTGTTTAACTCCTTTTATCATCTCCTTTTTATTCACAAGATATCATGTTCAAATATTGCTCAATGCAGCAAGGTCAGACTAGCCAGCACAAGATGTTTGGCATTCTACTCTGCATCTATAGTCTCTGCTATGAGCAAAATTCTCCTCAAAATGCATGCTAATTCAAGAATGGAATGGAAACCAGAGACTTTTTAATACCTTTGTCTTGTCTATATACAGAAATGTCTCAAAAGATTGTGAAGAAGGTATCAAACAAATGTTGATGACTTCAAAAGCATTTTATAATGATTTTATCTTACTTAACCAACCAACCAAATAATCCTACAATACCCAACTTTCATTTCACACTACTTTCTACTCATTAAAAGATACTCCACTATGCAGCCTGAGGATTAACATCTTCTTTACCATTAACTTTTTCCCTTACATACACAATCACACATTACTGCCACCATGCTCATCTTTCAGCAGGTGTTTGCATAGTACCATCTCCTTCTGATGGCTTAACCATACTACCTTCCACAGTGCAACCAAATTCCAAATCCAACTTATCTTTCTGTGTACCATCAAATTACTGATTTTTTGTTTTTATTGATACATTCCATAATCATTTTATTGGGCTAATTACCATTTCTCCTGCTAGCTATTGAAAAGAGAAGTAAAACTGAGACAAAAGAGATTATAACGAAGAAAATGTACTGGGGAAGACAAAAAAGCTGTCCAGACCATAAATGTTATCCTAAACTGGCCCTCCTCTTGGGCAAAATCAGTTAGGCAGAAGGCAATGTAAATTTGCACGTTATAGACCAACTAAATCAGAAATGTAGAGCTTTCATAAGCAGAGGGCTTACTTCATAAGATGAAGCAGAGATGTATAGCATAAGCTTTCATAAGCAGATGACTTACTCCATCAGATGAAAGAATTCCAACTTGCAGAACTTGCGGGGCCTTAGTGCTGTCCTCTCATCTACCTTTCTTGTTACACATTAGCAGTAAACCTTAGTCACAATACAAACAATACAACAATCAAAAGGTTATACTTACTAAAATTTGGATCTGCTGCATTTAACTTGGAGAGACATCCCTCAATGCCTCCTAGGCTCTTATCACTGGTCCATGTTGCATACTGCAATACAGAATGACACTGACTAAAAATTTAGTGGAACTGAATTTCTTTTCATTGTCCTGAGCAAAATTAAAAAGTCAGTCATATAAATGGTAAAAGAGAACAGGTTTTAAATTCAGAAATACTTATCAAACACATAATCAGAAAAACACTGGGGGACTCTGGTTCTTAGAACTGTGGTTTAATCCTAACTCTTCTTTCAGTCTGGAATTTGGAAATCAACTGCAACAATGTGATTTTTTGAATACCCACTTAATCCAAATGCTTTTGTCATACCTGAGTCAGTATGGCATCAAACATCTTGCAGGCCTCATTACTAGTCGTGGATAGAGCAAGTCCAGCATCCTGCCAGGCCTGAAAAACCATGAACATATGAGATCTTTTAACTCAATATACACTGATCTCTCAGATAGTATATTTGTTAAGACATAGGAACTGAAGTAACAGGTTTCCGGCAATGTTTTTCAAAAAAGGCTGACAGGACAATGTCAATAGCCATATGCTCATTTTACTCAACTAAAATCATGACTGGAGAATCGTATGAAAGGGGATAGCAAGGGAAGAATGGTAATGACAGAAGAAAAGATAAAATAAATTGTATAGTAAAGCATCCTGTGTGGTTTTGTAACTCTGGTTAGTTATCCAGGCTGAGGAATACATACTATTGGGGTTAAGCAGCAAACACCATAGGGCACACAAGAAGAAAGAATAGGAAAAACAGCTACATGGTAGCAAAATCTTCTGTTTAGAAGTAGTTTCATGAATGGCCAAATGATCTGCCAGTTCCCTCAAGTGAATGGAGTTAATATCAGCAAAGAATGTGGCCCAAGAACTTACTCAGAGGGCTATTTGCTAAAGCTGAAATGCAATACAGAAACACTGAAAGAATTAAGCTGCACAGAATTTCACAACAGATTATATAGCATCCTCTTTGGCTAAACTGTACAACAAAAACCTCATTGTGATAACTGAGATTTTAGATCTTGCACACTGATTTTATAACCAAGAAAACAGAATGAAAACCTCATTTATTTCCTGGTTTAAATTATGTATATGTTACACAATAGGGTGGCTGGCAAACTGGTTCATGATTGTCTTCATGAATCTCCCTAAGAGAAACCCACTAGCAAGATGGAACCCCTCCCCCCACCATCATTCTAAAAAATACCTAATTTACTATAAGATGGTTTGTGTAACCTTAATTGCGATTCTTCATGCATATGCACATAGCATTTAATAGTATACTTATGTTTGTCCCACAAGATGTGTTACAACACAAATGGTATGGGAGATCTTAAAGCTGTCATTTCCTAAACGTTCAGGTGCTTGCCTTTACAATCTATGCAGCATTCTTTTGATACCATTTTTTCATATGCAACGTAAAACTATGTTGACCATTTTCATTTGTGTTCCTTTATTAAAGCCAATAAATGCTTTTAACACTAAGCACCTCAGGGCACAGACTCACATCTAACACATTTTATCCACTGAGAAATCCTATAGACACTTGCAGAGCTATACAAATAATGATAGTCAAAACTAATTTCTTTCCACTACATAGATTTTATAGAAAAATAGAAGTGAAATGACTTGGGAGCCACTTAATCCATTTTCCTACTAATGGAGGAGTATTCCTGGTCAAAAGCTGTTCACAGTATTTGTCCAGTCTCAGTTTACAGTTTAAGCAACGTTTTGATTCCAACTCAATTGTGAAAATTTGAAGTAACTAGCGAAGATATACATTTTAAAAGCATGCTCAAGGGTTCCTCATTGTGACCGAATTTAAATATCACAAACAAACAGTTGTAAGTACTTGCATGTTCAAATTACAAGTCTAAAAGGGTTATCTTAGAGTATAAATTTTCATCTTTTGTTTAGTATTTGTCATTTATACAGATACATAACAAAAGGCAGGAAAAAAGGAGAGAATAGAGGCAAGTAGGCTGTGTCCTATCATATGTATCATAACAATAAAGCTCTGCATGCATGAACCTTGCTTTCTTAAATTCTTTCACCATTGCTAATACTGATGCAGTTCAACAGGTGGCATCAAGCACAGGAATGCTACTGTAGAGGTGTCTGACAGCAGGCCACATTATAACAAACCCTAAGTCTTGTCTGCATTAATGTTCCCATCACTTCTAATGCCAGTGAAGCTGCATCAATGTGAGCCCAGGTAGAAAACTTTATCAGAGGTCCTGCTGGTATAAGCCAGTCTGCTCAACCTTTTGGCTCCACCAGCCAAATGAGTGGTGCAGAGCCAGTCCACAGGCTGGATTGGACTACATACCCCAGGGTTGGGCTTGTATGCCCAGATCCAGACTCCACTCCCCCTGTCCAGCCCTCCATGCCAGGATTGGGACTCTGGGACCCCACACTGCTTCTGCCCAGCCTTATATGCCAGGATCAGGGCCCCAGGACCCTATGCCACCTCTGCTCAGTCCTGTTTATGGGCTCGGGGACCCAGGGCCCTCTGCTGCCTCTACCTGGTCTTACGTGTGAAAATCGAGACCCTGGGACCCTGTGCCACCTCCACTGGACTCTGCCTGCCAAAATTGGGCCCTGGGGCCCTACACCACCTTCACCCAGTCTCACATATGGGAATAATGGCTCCAGAACCCTGCCCTGCCTCTGCCCAGTGCCATGTAGGTGGATGGGGTCCCACACTGCTTTGGGTGCTGGATAAAGCATGCAGGGTCACTACCTGTGGGAAGCCCTGCAGGACAGGTGACAAAACCCCAGGGACTGGATCTGGCCCATAGGCTGGGCCGTGTAGGTTCCAGCGCTCTTGAAAGGATCTCCTGGTGCCCCAAGATGCTGCAGCAGCCTGGTTGAGAATCACTGACCTAGATGGACAATTTCTAATGACACCGACTAGGAAACATGGAAAATGTTCTCTTAGTCCCATTTTAACTGATTATAAAATAACTTTTCCTGTGGATATACAAGCGTTGCCTTTATCTGAAAGTGAAATATGCACATTATGATGTCTCAGCTCTCCTCTCTTCTCACCCTGACTGCTTAGTACTGCAAGCTCCCTGGACTGAACAAGCTACCACTTTTCAAGGCACAAGAGCAGCATGTGCTCAGACACCTGAAGGCAAAGACATGTGATCAGCACTCGCACCCAGGCCTTGAAGATGTGGACATTAGAACTGGTTAAGAGTTAAGAGTTGACTGGCTCGGGGAAAACAAAAGACTGATCGGTGGGGAAGGAATGGGATATGTGCAGTTAATAAAATATTCATGGAAAGAGCAGAGGAGTGGGGGGAATTTCAGACGGGGTTTTGCTTGGTAGGACACAGTCTATCTGTGTTGAAAAGCACCTTGGTGTAAAACCCTGGTATCAAATAGCATGCTCATACATCCCCCATGAATCAGGGACTCTCAACCAGGGCAGCCTGGGGAGGGAGGGCCACAAGATCATAGAAAATGAGGGCTGGAAACGACCTCAGGAAGTCATTTAGTCCAACCCCCTGCTCAAAGCAGGACCAGCCCCAACTGGATCATCCCAGCTATGGCTTTGTCTACCTAGGTCTTAAAAACCTCTAGGATGGAGGCTCCACAGCCTCTCTGGGTAACCTGTTCCAGAGCTTGCCCTGCTAGTGAGAGACTTTTTCCTAATATCTAACTCATACTTCCCTTGCTGCAACTTGAGACCATTGCTCCTCTTCTGTCATCTGCCACCACCGAGAGGGCTCTGTCACCCGGGTCTTAGCCTCCAAGGACGGATGCCCCCCGCCCCAAACACAGGCGACCGCTCCAGTGCTTCACCACAGAGAGCTGAGGGGCTGCTGTCAAATCTCCCTCAGTCTTCTCCCGCCCCGACTAAGTCAGCCCAGCTCGCTCAGGCGCTCAGCTCCAGGCACGGTGCCGCAGGGGCAGTACTGGCCCGCGAGACACGCGGAGATTTCCGCCGGGGGCGGTGACAGCCCGGCGACCAGCCCCACATCTCTGCACCACAGGCCGCTCCTTGCTCTTCTGGTTTGGAGAGGAGCCAACGCGAAGGGCTGCCCTTGCCCCGGGGCCGGGAGCCTACATGGGCTGCGAGCCACAGCCGCGAGCGGCGGGGGCGGGCGAGCTGGGGCTTCCCAGGGCAGGAGGCTCCGGGCCGCGCTGCCTCCACTGCCCGGCCGGGCACGCTGAGCCCGAGGCGGCTACGGCTTCCCTCGCCCGCGCCCTGCGCCTCACACCTGGCAGTCCCGCAGCGGCGCCATGATCCAGTCCTAGCCCCAGCCCTGCCCCGCGATCAGGCCAGGACGGCCCGGCCCGCCTTTGGGAGGAGCAGGGACGACCTCCCGCCCGCGGCGCGCTGCAAGAGAGGGGAAGCGGGTCCCGCCCCGGGGCTGGAGTCGGCTCCTTGTTCCCGGTTCCTGGGTCAAAGCTCCGGCCCGTGTGAGGCGGGGCCGGGGCCGGGGCCGGGGCCGGGCGGAAGCGCCGCGGCGTCCCCGCGAAGGTCTGTGTGATCCAAGCGAACGTTTGGCCGGGACCTGAAAGGTGTAGATGTAATAAACAGCCAGAGGAAGATCTACTGGGCATGCGGCTGCACCTCGCTTGGATTCCTGCTCCACCCGAAATGCATAGGAAACTGCTTGGCCGTGGCAGCACCACCTCGGTGCAGGCAGCAGTGAGGGTGTCGCTTGATGGTGGCTCAGCACAACCTACCTGAAGCCTTCTCAACCCTGCCTGCCTTCTAGCAGCGTACTGCCCCGCTCTCCTCTGTGAACTCTCAGGGCTCCACTAATCAAGCGGTTTATTCTTTTTTTCTGCAATTCTGCTGCCTGCTCATACTCTTGGTAATGTAGCTCCCGTTTCGCAGCCCTGCAGACTGTTGTTAACTCTAGCTAAAAACATTAACTCAGTTGTGGAAACAGAGATTCAGAGATGGTAAAGGGTCGGAAGGGACCTTGGAAGATCATCGGGTCCAGCCCTCTGCACCAAGCAGGAAAGACAACTGGGGGCCAGTTATGAAACATTAGCTCGGTGAACGTTAGCATAGGTGTGGAAATAACTTTCAGTTATCAGATGTGCTGTCAAGATGCTTGAGAAGGCTTGATTTTTCTTTCATGATTCTGAAGTTGTACAAGTAATTCTAGGACTTACAGGACTAAACAAACATCTTTTTGATTTTTTTCTTGCCTAGTTATTTGTGGTTTTAATACTTTTTTTACTTTCCAATGAAGTGTTTTTGCTTTGATCTTAAACTGAATAATATAGCCCTTGGTCCCCAGCATATTAGTAAAGCTTCTCATTTCTTTTTACCCGGAGAAAAATGTGGATGATGATGCACTGCATCACCTGCATTCGACTTTTCAAGATCCTAGATATAGCCATGGTAATAGCTATAGCTTGTGAGGGACTTGCCTTAAGAATATCATGCTGAATCACTGGTTCAGCAAGCATGCCACCTACTGGATCACTAGGGCTGTGCGAAACGGAAGCGTTTCATTTCGACTAGCATTTTGACAGAACAGTGTTTCGTTTTGACATTTGTTTCGAGTCAAAATGGCAGTTCCATCAAAACGTTTTGCCATTTCGACCGTTTCGATGTTTCGCCCATAGGATATAATGGGGAAAGTTGAAACAGGCTATAACTTTATTATTTCTGGTCAGATTTGGATAAAACTTGCAAAAACGGTAGCCCCTTCTGAGGGCATGATGTGTGCAAAGTTTCAAGAAGATAGGTGCAGGGCGTTCGGAGAAACTGCACTTGAAAGCAAAACTTGTGTCACGTGTATGTGTTACGCCACAGTGGGGTCAAAACTGCAGGCTTGCTAGCCCCTGCTGAGGCCACAAGGCCTGCCAGCTTTCAAGGAGATAGGTGCAGAGGTTTGGAGGAAACTGCACCTCAAGCTGCAGAGAAGCAAAATT